GACGTCTCATTCTTTCGAACTTATCCATGTGGGCACTTTGAGGTCTTGTTTTATACCAACTCCTAATGGTTTTAAGTACTTCCTCGCCATTGTTATCGATTTTCTAGGACTACGAGGGCTTGTCTCATGGGTTTCAGAAGTAATGACTTTCCTTTTAAGCCCAGGCTAAGATTGCTTTGATTTCAAACCAAAGTGCATCCCCTTTTTCCAAAGTCTTAAATGGGTCGGATTGGATGGGTTACGTGGCCTTCTTCTGACTCGACTTCTAGAATAATAGACTATATCATTTTCATGTGAGGGTAGTTTTACTACCCTTGGTATCACACCCCATTGGGTGGATAGGAGTGGCATTTGTCTCTCTTCCTGGAGCATCATGAACGCCTCTAACCAATACATGATTTCATCCCAACATTTAGATATCCGAGCTATGTGGTTTTACTTTAGAAAGGGGTGAGATTAGATGCCTTCAGATTCTTGCACATATCATGAGCATATTGATTTGGAAGGAAAGTTGTCGTACCTTTAATTCTCTCATATAGGGTCAATTGTCAGGGAAGGTTAAGCTGCTTGAATTATATAATCTCATAAGTGTTTAACTTCATTTTCATCCTCATGGTCTTATAGCATAGATTCCTTGTGTCAGCTAATGTCAGGAGTGTAACTCAACTGCATATATTTTGAGTCCCATATCGCATTCAAGGTGCCAGAGTATTCTCATCTTTGATAAATTGATTTTCCCTACACTCTAGGAAGCGAGTGGTTCGCGTACTTGAGTATTCCTCCTTAATGGTTCCTACTGCCAATGTACGAGTTACCCATATGCCTTATTTGTCTAATAATTGATGTCCCCACAATGATTAACCATGTCAGTATCTTTAGTTGTAACCTTCTGTGTCTCTTAGCGTATAACCTCATGAAATGCTCTGCTCAGCACGTTAATGGATTCCTGAATAACTCCAGTCTGAGCTTGAACTCTGTTGTTCCTCATCGTATTAGATCCATTAGGTATTGTAAGTCCAGCCAAGTCAAGGATGAAGCTTCATAGTGTGATCACATATATATTGGGTAGGTAATTTTATGGTCAGTTTATGAAAGCACGCCTTAGAGTAATTATTGAAGGTCATCAAGGGTTTAGTGAGTGTTCGCCTAGAGATTTAGAATTTTAAGGATGAGCAGGCTATTCTCCATATTTACCCCTGAAGATGTTATGTGAGTTGATAATAAAGGTAACATAAGTGTATTACACATCAGGTTGCACTAGGAGTATGATGTTCCCCGTAACTGTTCCTCATGTACTTTGTGTTTCCATATGTTTATGTATAAGAAGGTAGTGGTAAACGAGGGGTATGAATTGATTTGATTGAACTATATGATCATGGTAATATCTTATATGATGCACTACTGGCAAGAATCATCGTGACTTGACTTTATATGGATTGTTGATTGAAATGAAATTATATTCTTGTTGATGAACACCTTTGTGATTACATTAACGGATGGTAAGGACTATTATGAACTCATGATTGTTTGGTTACTAGGAAATGACATTCTTGATGGTATGAGGCCATGTGATGGAATTGTGGGTTGTTGTTGTTACCATGAATTGCAATATCCGGTGGAATGTAATTTGTACAGTGGAAATTATTAAAGGTAAAGTCAATGGATAGTTAGCTCACGCGAGGTGTCTATCTGTCATCCTTGTTATGTATGTTTGGGAGTTGATATTATTTTCGAGAACGTGTCATGATAGAGCTTGTAAGTCGAGAAGGTCATCTGGAAGGCTGAAAGTGTTGTGGAAGGAAAATTAGTCCATGTTCTGGTACCCCTATGATAATGTAGAGCTTGTAATACTAAGATTAGTATTGTTGATATATACATTGTGGTGCTCTGTCTAGTTGTGGATGTGTTTTTAAGATGATTTTGGTGATTCTCTGGTAGGTGGATAGGCCTAGCTACAAAGGAGACTCTGCCGAAATTTCTGAAAAATTTAGGAGTTAGTCAAAATTTAGGGTCTTGAGGTAGGTGAGAAAAGAGATTTATTAGAGTAAGCGTTTAAGTCGGAACCTACTCCTCATTCGAGGACGAATGATCCTAAGGGGGGGAGAATGTAAGGCCCCGGAAATTTTCGCTAAGTAATTTAGGATTTCGTGGTGTCACGTAGGCTTATTATAACATTTTTATGTGCTATTAACATGGTGTACATCCATTGGATTTGGTAAATATGTGTATAAGTCTTATTGTAAGTAATTTGAGTTCCAAGGAAAGGCCAAAGTCTAAGAAAAATTGGAAAAGTCCACAATAGGCAAAAATTCCCAATAATCTTGCACCAGTCCCTACTTTGAACAAGCACATCTAAATATGTATAATATTTTACGTGATGAATAACCTATCAAATGAAAGTTCTTTGAGTCTAGTTTCCAACGCTTCAAACCGTTCGTCATTTGGACATTCCTACGCAAAGTTATGATCAAATTACCAAAGGCTAGAAAATGTTATCCTGTGTCAAATCTGCGACCGCATTCCTGTCGCATTGTTGACTCTGCGGTCGCATTTCTGTCGCAGACTGGGCCAGTGTAGCCCAGTTTTGGGCGCCGATTTTGCGGTGCATTATGCGGCCAGCATTCGCGTTCTGCGGTCCATTCTGCTATAGCAGAATTGACATCGGAGGGTTAATTTTCTAATTTTTATAACCCGACCCCATTTCAATATATAGCCTTTGGGGCTTCATTTGGGGTCATTTTCTACTGATTTTAGAGAGAGGTGAGAGCATTTTAGAGAGAGAAGGAGGAACCCAACATTTAAATCATCCAAACCTTGCATCAATCTTCAAGAATCAAAGAACCCAATCACAAGTTCTTCATCTAAGAGGTAAGATTCTATACCCTAGGTTTTAATTTCGAGTTTGGAGTATAAGATGGGGTATTGAGGTATGATTATTGGGTGTAATGCTATTATGTATACATGCATGTACAACTTAGGTTTATGGGAAGATCTTTTAACATAAATAAGTAAATATTGGGTTAGGGAATGAAGAAAATCTTGAAAAGGGGATTTGAAATCAAGATACTCAACTAGTATTTGATAAAATGCTCAAATGAACTAGAATTATGAATATCTTCCTAATTTGTGTTCAATTTTGCTATGTCCCAAAATAGATTGAAGTTGCTAGAATTTCCGGAATATCGTAGTAATTAAAGGAAAGCTCAAGAAAGGTATGTATGACTAACTTTAACTCTTGTAGGATCCCCCTTGTTATGACGAGCATACGGTATGTATACCTTGTATGAGAATATGTGAATTGATTGCCTTAGTTGATTTCCATACCACCAAGTTATATGTGATTGTGAGAAGTGATTTGATGTGCCTATCTTGTTATGTGCAAAGTTTGTAAAAGCTTGAGGATGTCGACATGGAAGTATGTATTTCCTTATGTGAACTATTTGTGAATTCTTGTGATTTATGTGCCTTGAATGTTGTTGGTTAAGTCTTACGATATGATGGTGCAAGTAAATGAAAACAAACCAAATGTGGGTGTGTGATTGTGAAAGTGTTATGTGGTAAGAACTGAGAAACAAATGATGGAAGGAAATCGTAAATGATGCACTTGGAACAACTGTGGTAATAACATATTTGGCTTGTTGTGGGTAATTATTGTGGTGAAGTAAATTGCATATGAGTTGTTGAATATGATAAAGTGGTATTGATGGCTACGGAAATTCTTGTGAATTGTTGTGGTTGTTCTTTGAGAATTGTTGTTGTTGTTCTTGTGAATTGTTGTTGTTGTGTGTTGTTTGTGAATTGTGATTGTTCGGTGGGATCGGGTTGCCCGCCGCAACACGAAGTAATAAGGTGTGGGTTGTGGTGATAAGGGTGGCCGAGGTAATAAGGGTGGCCGAGGTAATAAGGGTGGAAAGTGATCGAAATCACTACCTGAAATGAAAGTATGAGAAATTTGTGAAATCATTGATGTGATAATGTTGAAGGGGAAAAGGAGAGATTGTAAAACTTGTTTGGCTTTGATTGTTTCTTTCACGTGCATTTGATCGTTGATTCTATTGATGTCTGTTACTTGTGTGTGTTATTTGATTTTACTTGGGGTGAAGTTTGTTTATACATACCAGTACAATTCAAATGTACTGACGTCCCTTTTGCCGGGGGCGCTACATTCGTGTTATGATTGTAGGTGGTTCTATAGCAGGTACTCCAGTCCACCGACAGTAGCACCTCCTCCACTTTCCATCAGCTGTATTAGTGAGCCCCTTTCCTCTCGGGGCCCTACGTGGCTCATGCCGCCTTTCCTCCGGAGTTTATATTGGTATTTGTGTAAGGTATAGCCGGAGCCTTGTTGCCGGCATTTCCATATTATTCTTCAATTGTATTTAGAGGCCCCGTAGACAGGTTGTGGGTAGTGTCGGGCATGGGGATTTAAAAATTGAAATATTGATGTTTGGCAATGATGTATAAAACTTCTAATACCTTTAATATTGCGAATGAAGTTGCTAATGAAAATGAAATGGAAATTGTTAATGATATGTTTATAGAATTTGATTAATGGAGTCCATCTCCTATTTATTCATGAGTTAGTTTGGGTAGAATGAGATCTAACAAGCTTGCTCGGTCGGGTTTACTCGGTTGAGCGCCGGTTGCGCTCCTCGGATTTTGGGGCGTGACATTAGCGGTTTTTACGTAAAAAAGTAAAGCAACACATTAGTTGCTTTGGGTTGTGTCAATTTTTAGAGACTTGGGGAAGGAGTGGGAGGGGGAGGGGTGGGGTGGGGTGGAGGGGGAGGGGGAGGGGTGAGGAGAGTTGCATAAAAAATATTTTCCTAACAGAAATATTTTCTACTCTCTAACCAAACATTAGAAAACATTTTCCGTTTCCATTCACCAACCAAACAAGGGAAAATAAGTGATAAAACCACTCATTTTCCATAAAAACATTTTCTAGGAAAACATTTTCCATGGAAAACATTTTCCTTCGTACCAAACACACCCTTAGATACAGCCACTTTTTCCTCATTCAAATGGATTAATTAAGTTTATTCTCCATAAAATAAAAAATAGAGAACGACATGAACCATTATTGTTCATCGGGTACAAGCAAAAATGAACATATTAATTATTAGTAGCACAAAAAACATGGGGTTCTTCATTTGGAAACATAGGCAACATGACACCATATGTTTCCCCTCATGTCAAAAGAACTTTGTTTGTACCTAAAAATATGCATGAAAACAAGGAAAAGAAGATAACAACAAACAAATTAAAAGAATGAAGTGTGTAATAGTAATTATTAATAACCAAGCTCAATTCTGGCTTCAGATCTCCAGTGCTTAGCTTTCTCAAAACCATTAGTATAATTCTCAAAATCTTCAATCGTTTGGTCAATTTCTTCTTGTGTATTCATCACAAAAGGTCCCAATTGTGCTACTGGTTCACCCAATGGTTCTCCACCTACTAATATAAACCTTAGTATTTTTGAGCCCTTATTCCATGCCATAAGTCCATCACCAAATCCACTTAAAAGCAGCAAATTATGTGCAGATATAGGTGACGAAGTTGTTGAATCTTGGCCAAAAATACCTTCACCTTCTAAAATATATACAAATGCATTATATGATTTAGGAATTGGTTGTTGAAGATGGGATCCTGGTTTTAGAGTGAAATCCAAATACATTGTTGGAGTTGTTGTATATATAGTTGATTTTACTCCTAATGCTTCCCCTGCTATAACTCTCACTTTTATCCCATCTCTTGCAGCCTCTGCTATGTTGTTGCTTGATATCTCTTGATACCTTGGCTGTATCCTGTTATTAAAAAATGGGTAATCAAAATATTAACAAAGTGAATTTCTTTATATTCTGTTATTTATAGTCTGTGGTCAATCTTTTAAAATCAGCTTATTTTAAAAAATATTTTTTCTCAAAAGTACTTTTGGTGAGAAGAAGCTTGTGTGGCTAATTAATTTGAAAAGTACTTCTAATCATCAATTAGTGTTTGCTTAACCTGTAAAAAAGTGCTTAGTGTATTTTTCTCAAAAGTGTTTTTTTAAAAAAAATGCTTACAAAGAGAAACTACTTTTTTTTATTTTTCTAAAACTGTTTCTGCTTCTACTCAAAAGCATTTTGTTTTCTTTTAAAAACTTGGTCAAATACTCCAACTTTGAAAAATATGCACTTTTTGGGGGGAAAGTGCTTTTAGCCTTGGAGAAGTGCTGATAGGCTATAATTGCATATTTTAGTCGCTTATTACACTCGAATTTACTGCACTTTAATTGAGTTTGCGCTTTAATCGCTAGTGTTTTGCACTAATTGTGTGTTTTATGCCTTATAGGTGTTATTCCGAGCTATATAGATGCTATGAAATGAATTTAAGTGATTTGAAGCTTTGAAGTCTGAGTAAAAGCTCAAGGAATTAAGCCGGGATCGTGTTCGGGGGTCAAATTTGATAATTAAGTACGAACGAAGACTTAAGGAGGCATATTGCGCACTGTCTAGTAAAATAGACATAACTTTTTGCTCAGAACTCCATTTGGGCTCCACAATATATAGTTGGAAAGCTAACTCAAAGGGCTACAACTTTCATGTTTTACGTTTTTCCAAATTACAAACGAAACAGGGTGAAAAACCGCGGTGTTTCCGCGACCGCGGCAGAACCGCGGTAGAAGATGGTCGCGGACAACTGAAGAATCGGAGGGCATGTTTGGCCGCCGTTCCACCGCGACCGCGGCAAAAACGCGGCAGGAAGCGAAAATTTCAGGGACTAAAGTGCAAAACATGGGATTTTAAGCCCTAAACCCTATATTAAACAAAGGAGGCCGGCCAAGAACAAGAGGGGGACATATTTTGGACATAGATTCGACCTAAGGAGGCAAGAACGCATTGGGAGCAAGGCGGAGAATTCTTCTACGAGTTTTTTCCTTCCTCTTCCTATTTTTCATTGTTGGTTATGACTTTTAGTATTGTAGTTTTACATACTATTATGAATAGCTAATTTGTTATCTAGAGTTTTGATAGAACCTTTTGTAGGATAAATTCTTGTTATGTTTTTATATAATTGAGCCATAGCTTTTCTCTATTTGTTCAACTACATTTATATTCTGGTTGATTGAAGAGCTCTCAATTAGCTGTGCCTATTTAGTATGCATAACTCGGGAGAGAGTGCATATTTAGGTAATTGTTGAACAACACCACTCCCAGAGTATATGAGGGATCAATAACCGAGGGCTTAAAGGCGGGATTAGGGATAACGAAGCCTTGGGTGCGATCTGAAGTGAGATGTATTAAAAGCCAGCTAGCGTAGCTCGGGAGAGTGCGTCTAGTAAATTGTCGTAATTACTCGGGAGAGATTTACGGCAATAAGATTGCTCATGATCGGTAGAGAATACTTAGGCGAAATTATAGAAGACATAGCGGGAAGGATTCCGACAATAGGGGAAATCATAACTCTAGACCTCCTTAATCTTTTCTCGAACCCTCAGTATCGTTAGTTGTTAATTTACTATTTTAATTTGTTAGTTAAGTAGTTAAACACAAGAATCTTAATATCTATAAGTTAGGAATTGTTCAAGCTTGTCTTCTTGGTGATAGTGAACAGTTGTAGCTAAACCTTAGGTCTCTGTGGGATTCGATTCCGGACTTGTAAACCGGATTATATTTGAAGCGACCGCTTAGTCTTTTTTATAAGGCATAGTTGGGCGTGATCAAAACTTTGGCGCCGTTGCCGGGGAACTAACGGTGTAGTTGTAGGTGTACATATTGCTATGTTTCAAGTTTGAACTTTTATTTTATTATTTGATTTTTTTTATTTTTTTTTATTTTAGTTTTATTTGTTTATTTGAGAAACATGACATCGTGGAATTATGAGAATTTTGTTGTTGGTAATTCTACTTTTGATCCTCCTTATGCATATTGTGAAGGAAACCACCCAGGGCAAAATTATCAAAATATTCCTGAGAGCGAGTTTTGTGCACCAACTCAATCTTATGTGTGGAATGTGTGTGATATATGTGGTAGTCAAGATGGTCACTTTCACGGTTGTGCTTATATTTCTTACCTTCCCCCAACCCCTTACTTTGATGGTTCTTCTTTTTCTGGTGAAGTTAATAGGAACAAAGAACCTAGGGAAGCTGACCTAAAGAAGCTCGAAGATATGTTAAAGTGCATTTTGGAACAACAGAGTAAATTACTACTGCGGATAGAAAGGCAGGAGGAAACTATTCACAACTTGAAAGTTCACATGAGTCAACTGGTTGATGTTTTTAATGCTCAACAAGCCAATATTGTGAATAGTATCCAAGAAGAGCGTGAATTAGATACAGAAATTGATGAGCTAGAGGAGGAGGCTAGAGTAGAACACCAACAATCAATCACACTAGATTTTGAGGATGTCGATGTTGTAGAAGAGATACTAGAGTCAACCAAGGATATTGAGGATACATATTTAGTTGACTCTATTGTCATTAGTGTTGAGAATGTAGATAGTCCCAATGTTCATGTAGTTGAGTGCATTGGTCCTCACTCCAAGCATTTTTCCACATTGTGTTTAGATGATGATATGGAAATAGAGTCGTCCGAGCCATTTGAGGAGTCGAGGAATGAGGAACAAAGTGCTGCTTACATTCCGGAATTCTTCTTGCCAGAAAATCGGGATTACACACCTCATCTAAAGGCCAAGAAGTGCAGAATACTACATTATTTTATTGGGCCATCAGAATTCGTTCCACCACCCCAGAAGCATGATCATAGAGCAGAATCAAAACTTGGGGTCCGATTCATAAGTTCAAAGTGGAGGCAGAAAGTGATTCACGTCGTGCCGCGACGTTAAATCAAGCGCTCGTTGGGAGGCAACCCAGCTTTATTGCTTTCTTTTATTTTTTTATATTTTTTTTATTATATTATTTTTGTAGTGTCAATTTTTTTTTTATTTTCTAGGAGCATGGAAAGCAAAGGTATTGGAAGGATGCATCAGCAAATCAAATGGTTGGAACTAAGTGTGAGGTACCCACACGAAGGACCAAGCTTGGGAGAAGTCTGAGTACCCCATGAACTGCTAGTGCTTCGGCCTTTGACCTACCAGGGAGTTTCTTTTACCCTCTTGTATGTATGGGTGTGCATTGGGGACAATGCACAATTTTAAGTGTGGGGTGAGGAGATTGTCTGGGTGATTTTTCATGCTACTTTAGCTGTGTTTTTTTTTTATAAAAAGATTGGACTTTTCCTGATGACGGATCTTCTAGACAGTTTTCTTGAGGGAAGTAAGTCTAAAGAAAATACCGAAAAGATTTTTTGTTTTGTTAGGTAGTGTAGTAATTACCCCTTGGTTTTTCTTTAAACCACGGTTCTTTTCCAAGGGTTTTATTTGAACCGGGTGTAGTTAGTTTTTTTTTTTTTGGAATAGGAGCCATTGTGTTTTGTTTTGAAATGAAGCAATATCTCTTGACTTTGTTATGCCTTGAGAATAGTGAGTACTTTGGCTGTGACGCTTAGGCTCAGTTTTTGACTCTTGTATAAGTACCTTAAATTGTATGATCTTAAATTTGCTTAACTGCTCTGACTAGAGTGTCTTGATGAATCCAATCCTGAGTGAGTTATGTGCCATGTGTGTGTGAGGTGTGGTGTTATTCTGTGCATTGCATTTGATGCCTAGAACTTGCCCCGTGTGTTTGCAAAGCAAAATAGTAGTTTTATTCAGTCTAGGAAGTGATATAGGCATTTCTTTAGTTGAGCCAGATATGCATATTTTCCCCGCCTAATTATTATATATCGTAGTTAACCCCTTTGAGCCTGTAATCCTGTTTCTTTGGCAACCACATTACAAGCCTTACCCGTTTGTTTGAATTAACCATCTATTAGAACCTTTTCACCTCTCATGAGCACTTGAATTGTTATGAACTTTGTAAAAGTTAAAGTGTGGGGTGGTTGGTTTGGCTTTTGAGTGGAACTAATTGAATAAGGAGAAAGGTGCACTGTTTTGAAAAAGGAAGAGCCACTTGAATTGAAAAAATATATAGTTGGATTGTTGTGAAAAAAAAAAATCCTTGATAAGTGGTGGCTCTTGATGTAAGTGTGCTTAAAGAAGAATGGGGTAATATACATTGATGTGAAGGTGGAGTTTTGGTTTGACATAAGTATGGGGTTTGAATGTTAAAGTATATGTATTAAAGTGCTTAGGGAGGTGTAGTCACTCTTATATCTAAATGTATCCTACCCGTCCCGTAGCCTACATTACAACCAAATAAAGTCCTAATTGATCCAAGATTGAATGAGCTCTATTAGTGGAGTAGTACACTACGGGCAAGCTTATGGTGCATCTTTTGTGGCATATGAATGTTATTTCTGAGAGTGAGTGGATTCTTTCTATCTTGAGTTCCTAAGNCAAGGCTATGCGCCTTCGTTAAAGAGTTCAACTACGGTTGAACCAAGACAGGCTATGAGCCTTCAACAGAAAGTTCAACTACGGTTGAATCGAGACAGGCTACGCGCCTTCACCAGAAAGTTCAACTACGGTTGAACCGGGACCCAGGCCGTGAGCCTTCGCCGTCAAAATCGATTAAGTTCAACAACAGTTGAACCGGGACTCAGGCTATGCGCCTTCGTCACTATATCAAGGCTATACGCCTTCGCCAAAAGTTCAACTACGGTTGAACCAAGACGGGCTACGCGCCTTCACCAACAAGTTCAACCACAGTTGAACCAAAACAGGCTACGAGCCCTCGCCACCAAATTTAACAAAGTCCAACAACAGTCGAACTGGGACTCCGGCTGCGTACCTCCGCCAATAAATCCAGCCACAGTCGAACCTAGAC